TTGCAATAACTATTAGTTTTTAAAAGTTTTGACATTTTTGTTTCAAATATGCATATTAATGTAAGCAGACGCTATATCTAAATAAGAGCTAGATGAAACTGATGACTGTAAGGTATTCATTCAAATACAGGAAGAGCAGGAAGATCTTTAGTGCACTGAAAACCAGCGTTTATCCTTCCAGGTGTGGAGTATCTTTGTTAGAGCACTAAGAGTCCACTTTTTCAATGCAAGTGCTAATCCCTATATAACAAGAGTAAAATTTCAAAGCACAGGGATAAAATGCATCTGTGCAGTAACTTCTAACCAAAAATAAGTCATCACAGGGCCTCCCCACATCATATGCCATAGATTTATAATTAACAGGGATATAGAATGCTTCTAAATAAATACACAACTCTGATGGCCTGGATTAATTCAGACCAGAATGGAGGTAATTTAATGATCTGTATTTACCAAGCTATCAGTGATGGGGGAACACATTGATGTGCTCAGCTACTACAACAAAATCATTTGCATTACAGGGAAGGAAAGAAGTTATGAGAATCTGGATTGGGCAATCCTGATTGTTGTACTGTGTATTAGATAATACAATGATACATACCAAGCATCAAGCAGGAAAGACATTTTTCCACTTGTCTGACTGCAGATCTGATGCACTGAGGCTTGAAATCTCATTTGCAAAAGAGGCAAAGTTCATGTGAAGAAAAGTCCAGGAAAAGTATTCAGGAAAGTCATTTTCCCATTTGGCATTTAGACATATGAATCTTCAGCAGATATCATATAATTACCCACACATGTATGACTTGCTAGAATAACTGCATTAAAATGTAGCCACTATTGTATTTCAATTCCAGGACAACTCAGTTCTCAATCATATTCAAATTCCTTCCATCTTCAAAAAATGAATAAAAATTACTAGATAGTGACATTCCTTATCTGAAAAAATTGAGAGCATAAGATAGGACATATACCGAATTGTACTAGATCAGTTCAGAGTCCTATTATTCCAGCTGCAGTGCTCCAGTTTACTACAGGAAGCTCATAGGAAGGACGGGAATGCATGGGGGCTGTCCACCATATGCACTGTGACCACTAATAATCACTTTATCCTCCATGGATGTGGTGAAAGTCCTCTTAAAGGCACCAAAGTGGATGATTCACAACTATTAATAGAGACTCATGACTATTGATAGAGATTTATTTCTGCTGAATTGCTTTCATGGATACCTCATACACTACTTTTTCCAATAGAAAAATCAAATCAGGAAAGGCCCATGTCTATTTGCCCCCTAAGATGGGAATCCCTGCTCCCGGAACAGACTGTGAAGTCCATCAAGTGTCACCCTGACCATGTGAATAAACCCCTGTTCTCTCAATTTCATATGTGAAATTGAAACTTTTTTTTCCTCACAAAGTGAAAACACAGAATGAGCCAGTGGGCAATCCAGTATTTATTTCAATGTAAGTGCTTCCTGACCTTGCTGGATAAACCCTTCAGAATCCACCCATTTTTGAGCATCTTTCACCCTGTGAAGAATTGAGTAGAAGCCGGGAAAAAGCATCCAAGCATCCTCCCAATTGTCTGAAGATGCCAAAGGTGTTGCTGATTAATTTAACAAAAGATTGGATCCCCACTGATTTCAGTGGGTCTACTCCAAGTATTACTAAATCTGGATCTCACCCATAAAGCAAAAAAAGCAAACATATTCCCTAAACTAAAAAAGTTAAAAATAACCACTTCAGTTTTAGAATATGAACTGCCCATTTAGTCACTTTAAGAAATGTAAGTTGAGTTGTAGCTTTTCCTTTAAAAATAACAGCACACATTTTCCACGGAAGCAATCTTCTCTATCAAGGAAACAAATGCTTCCAACACAGGTAATCCTGCCCTATGGCTTTCTGATTTATTGGCACAACCTAAGTTAACAGCCAGCAGAGTCTCCATTCCTGGGAGGTTTCCCATGTCCTCCGCATTAACTCATGTGTTAGTAGGCGGCCACCTATCTAACACATTTCCAAACACCTGCAGGCCTGCCCAGCTGTGCAAATTGCTTTGCAATCAACCTGCTAAGACAAGCAGAAGGAGAAATCACATCTCAAGACCACTAGATTTTTGTCAGCTCTTTTTCCTTTATAAGGTAGCCAGAATTCTGCTCAGAACGATTGCAATAAGTTTTGGGCAAAGGCTTACCAGAAACTCTAAATGGATTATGCCATGTTGAGCTAAACTCATCAATCCAGGCACACTGCCTAAACTGCCAGTATATTTGTTTATTGAATCATTTATAAACTATGTTTGGGCTTCAAAAGGGTTTAGTGTACTGACATGCAAATTAAAATATGGTACCAAAAAGCATGAAAACCAGACCAACAAATAAATCCACCAGTAGGTAGGAATTAAAATTAACCAATAGCTTGGTAAACTAAGAAGGTCTTTTTAGCAGTGGTACGGGCAGGGGAAGATATCAGGCAGAAAACTAAGGTCCCATTCAAATGAGCTTCCACATTCCAGTGCATCTCAGCCTATCCGGAGAAGTCCTGCCAGTTCTGCAAGCAGGGTTCTAAGAGGTGATGTGTTAGTAATATGCATCCAATTCTCTGTGAGTCATGCAGCCAGAATACTTTGTGCAAAGTGTTCCCTTTTTGTGCAGTGTCCCTTTCTCATTTTTTTTCCAATAACCAGCATTCTTCACAAACACCTAGTTTCAGCCATATCCTTAGAACTTTCACAGTGATCATATAGCACAGGCTCATATGTGGTTGCTCTGCTAAAGACCGATATAGCATTTCAGAGGTGATGGAACACTGCAAAACTCTGTGAGTGAGCTTTCAACTGCTGTTTTTCCAGCAGCTCCCTGCCCCCTTTTTCATGCTTCCTATCAATTCTGGTTTGAAAGTGAGAAGAGGTTCAAAAGCTTTTTGTAATGTGCCATTTGGGCTCACCATTTTAAAAAGTGTGAAAAAATCCACTGAAAATGCCCCAAAGTAGCTTTTTGGCTCCTAACCAATTTTTAGAGGCTAGGCTGGGTGTGTGTGTGCGTGTTTCCCTCCCTGTATTCAAAACTGATTTTTCTGATCTCTGAATGGATGACTGATACATTTAAAATCAAGAAGAGAATCAATGAGAAGCCGTGAACAATAAATAGAAAATGGTGCTGTTTGTTCAGGATTATCTTGTGGATATCGATAAGAAGAACTGTCATTCCCCAAATATTTGTGCTGACAAAAATCTGCTCATGTGAATTTAAGCAAACAGCAACTAAAATTGATGTAATTGCATGGCTGAACTCAAAAGTCCTTGAAATACATCTGCTTGACCACAATATTCTCAATTCAAGACTTGAGAGTAGCTTCCTGACCTTTAGAACTAATTATTTCATAGCACCTAAATTAGTAAGAAATTGTCACATTTACTTTAAACCCCTCATTAATGAACAAGAGGCTTCTAGAAAGTTGAATGCTCTACATACTTAGAATGATACACAAGCAATAACCTTCTGTATAAGAAAGCAGCATAACATCAGTGTATTGTTGGCTTGTTATTTTGGATTTGTCTTCTAATTGCGCTGAACCTGAAATGTGCATTTTTCACAGTAGCTCAACACTAGAACTATATCTTAATTGAACTATTAACCAGAGCCCCAGTATTTCTTACTCTGGTGTTTTACTGCCAGCTTGGATCCCATCAACATGTATGCCAAGCTGAGGTTTTTCATGCCAGCGTGAAGCACTCGTTTACTATTGCACCTCCACTGCCATGTTAAATGCCCAATCTAGCCATTTGCAGAGTTCCTTTTCTGATATTCTACATAAGGGCCTTCTCTGCAGTGGTGCCCAGATGATGGAATATGCTCCCCAATGAGGTTTGCCTGGCATCAAGCCTATACTCCTTTCAGCGCCAGGTTAAAACCTTTTTATTTAATCGTTATTTTAAAAAGTAGTATTTATACCATTTTACAGTCGCTTTTGTTTTGTTTTGTTTTGATCGGACTTATTTGTATTGGTTTTGATAATTTTATTGTATGGTTTTATCCATTGTTCTATGGTTTTGCTTTTAATCTTGTAAGCCATCCTGAGACGCAATAGTGAAGGGCAGCATACAAACTGTTTAAATAAATAAATAAAACTGTTAGGTTTTAACCACCTTAAATAATTTGGTGATATCATCAAACCTGGCCACCTTTACTGCTCACTCCTAGTTCTTGTACCAGCTAGTTAAAGGCACCAGTCCCAGTACAGATCCTTTGAAAATTCCACTGCAGATATCCCTCCAATGCAAGGATTAACCATTTGGTTCTCTCTCCTCTTGCTGAGGACAGCTTACCAATTCACAAGTGGATTTCTTTTATTCCACAACTGCTGTTTGCTCAGAAATCTTTGATCAAGGACTATCAAAAACTTTCTAAAAGTCCATGAAAACAAGGACAAATGTATCACCCCAGTCAATATGTTTATTTACACTCACATATCAACTGGGGTGATACAAGACTGGACATACTGTTGCAAAAGCTATGTTCATTCTTGTTCAGCAAGACTTGCCCTTCTATATGCTCAATATTTTTATTCTTAATAATCTTTTCAACCAATTTACTTGAAGCAAATGCTAAGCTGATTAATCTGGAAGTTCCTAGATCATATATACATGCATGCACACACACCGGTATATGTAGTGTTATGGCCACTGTCCCATCCGGGCAAAGGCATGTACTGCAGAAGACACCAATTGGTCTCTGTTGGTCACATGACTTCCCCTGTCCCAAGTCAGGCTTCCTCTCCTTTCTTATTGATAAAAAGATGGGTTCTTTTTCTTGGTATACTTACTTGCCTTTATACTGTCTTTGCTTTACCCTTCCTTACCCCAGATTAAACAGGAGCTGTACTGCTCTTCCTCATACTCACATACTCACATGCACAAAATATTATGAGTATATGAGCATAATTGTTCATCATATCAAGACATTAAAATACTGTTTTAAACTTGTTTTTGTTTTGTCACTTACCTGCGATTGCACTCGTATTAGAAATCTCTGTACTGACAGTAGACATGCTAGGACCATCTTTACTGGATGCTTTCAGAATATACTTCTCAATTACACCCTTGACTCCAACTGGTTCATCCCATGTCACCACAACACTGTAACCATTTATGCTGTGAACTCTTGAGGGTGTTGGCACGTTTTGTGAAGCTGTGAAAAGATAAAAAAGAAACAGAGAAAATAGCAGTCCTAAGAAGACTATTGCCCCATTCTTCACTTTTAATAGTTGCAGTAAATCAGATTCACCATTAGCATAAATACAATTTATTAGAGTTGTAACTTTCCAGCATTGATTTAATATGACTGCACATCTTGAGCCATTCAGTTTTAGCAATATTTCAAAACCATCAGAACTCCATCTACATAACATTCTTCTTTGTCTAGTTCAGGTTTCTGAAAAACATTTAATGTATCAAATGTGTTAAAACATCATTCACAAAGGTATACTGTAGATGTTCAAACAAAAGAATGGTGTTGCTAAGATCAGATAGGTTACATAATTGGCATTTCACATTTAATTAAAAAGAAACTGCAAATGTTTGCTAAAATGCAGCCTGATTTTAAACATACAGAGTATATCTTATTTTAGACTTCTTTACACTTTAAAGAGCTTAAACTACAAAATGTAGACATACTAGTTGCAGTTTAATTCCATATTATCAATATAATGCATACTGGGACAAAACATCCCAAATTCAAATAAAGACTGATGAGATCTGAGCTATCAGTGACTGAGCAAGAAAGGGATCGTGGTGTTGTGGGTGACAGCTTGATTAAACTTTCGACCCATTGCACAACTGCTGTGAAAAAGGCAAACTCCATGTTAGTCCTAATTAGGAAAGGAATTGAAAATAGAACTGCCAAGATCATACTTCCTTTATACAAATCTTTCATGCAACCTCACTTAGAATATTGTGTACAGTTCTTGTCACTACACCGAAAAAAGGATAGTATTAAGTTGATGAAATTGTAGGGGAGGGCAACTAAATGATTGAAGAGTTGGAGCAACTTCCCTGTGTGGAACAGTTCAATATCTTGGACTATTTAGCTTAGGAAAAAAGGGAAAGGGAGACATGATAGAGGTGTTCAAAATCAAGCATAGTTTGAAGGAAGTAAGAGAGGAAATATTTCTCTTCCTCTCCCATCTGGGCTCATCTCATGAAGCTGATTGGTGGAAGATTCAGGACAGATAAAAGGAAGTGTGAATAGAATGATGGACTGGATGGACCATTGATTTGATCTAACATGGCAGCACTTATGTTCTAATACAGTTTGTCCTTTAAAGCCAACAGAATGAGGCTACCATTAAGATGAAATGCTTAATATTTCACAAGCAGTAATGTATTAATTTTGCTTTGGGTGAGTTCATGGAACAAACTAAACGTGAATGGTTTAAAATAAAGATTTTAAAGAACATTCAAAACCCAGATCATGCAAGCCTAGAAACTCGAGTAAAAATATTATCTTGTTTCCAATAACCTTTAACTATTTATTAGATATTGCTACATCAAGTAAAGATCAGGGAAGAAACAACTTCATCACAGATGACTGCACAAAGAATGCCAAGGAAAGGCCCAAGGAACTCCATGGCAGAATGATGGATGGTAGTTTTGCAAGAGATGCATGTGTACACTAGAGTACTGGTCATTAGAACTGTCCTAGCCTCACAAAATCAAGTATCCTTCTTTTTCTGCCCTTATTTCTTAGACTCATTTAAAAAATCATCGGGGATGGGAAGGAAAGTCCACGTGGGAGACATTATGTTACTTTCAGAAGTATTTGCACAGCAATGGCTGCTCCTGAAAGCAGCAATGTGATCTACTCACAAAGCTTCAGGTTCCTGACAATCCTACATTAATATATTGATTTTATTAGTTTTGAAATGTATCACAGGGCAAGGTAAGGCACTGTATAACAGATGGTCTTCTCATAGGGGACACAACAAGACTGACTCAAAAATAATTAAATAGTGCAATTATTTCCCAGCCCTTGGGAACATGTTTCCGCTCTGTGCTGTGGTCAGATTGTAAATATAAATTTATGGTCTAACTTACTCTGGTCAGACAATTAGGGTAAAAATGTGGCAGTACCTGCTCGCTTTGGGATAATTGACCACATGGTGACATTAAGTGGCATAAGAGGCATATTTGCAAGTCAAAATTCAGTTTTGGTGAAAGGTGTTTGAAAGCAGCTTTTGTGATGCACACAAACATTACGGCCACAGTTTGCAAGTGACTGATATAACTGGTGACCAGTTATATTGTTGTTTCAGTTCTTTTGTTTTATTTTTATCAGCAATTAAAACATTTTGCCCATTCACAATGAATAGAAGTGAATCCATCAATCTTTAATTCATTCAAGTTCTCATTCTACATCAGATTATGGATTTTTATGTTTTCATTTCCACCAAAATATGCTTACATTTTCATGTGCATGCCTTTAAAGTATGTATTTTTGTACAGATTGCTTCCTAATATGCAAATCCCATGCATATTTTTGCAAATATATGTGTTTTTGAAAAGTGTATATATTTTTGTTCACTTTTTTCACATGCAACATCACAGACTTCAGAAATGTATGGATTCTGGTGGGAAGTCTTATTCCAGTTCACATTTATGTTTATGAAGTACAAGTATGTTTACAGCCTACTGAAATGTGAACCAAACATTCTTCATTTCTGAACAACACACATACGGCATTGAGAGAAATCAGATGTTTTGGGTTTAAACATGTTGTAAAATGGCCACTCAAATGGCCACTTTGTTGTTCAAACAAACCATATTCAGTTTTTCTTGTTGAAATCAGAGAAGAAGGAACCCCCTCTCCTCCACAGGCACACACAGAAACATATTTATTCCAGGGTATCTGAGAACAGCACAGCTGGGAGGTGGCATTTTATTGTTGGGCAAAACAAAACTGTAGAAAATCTTCAGAATCTTCTCTCTGAAGAAATTTCAGCTTAGTTCATACTGCATGATGCTATTGTGAATTCTACTGGTGGATGAAAAAAAGCAACGGGCTAAGATATTCTCAACGTAAGCTCTTTTAACTTTCCCTACACGTCTGTTTCCGGAGTCTACAGGATTAGGACTGACCCCAGGGGCAGGGGCAGGAGGTTCTTCTGTGCCTTTCTGTATGTTCTATTAGAGGTGGCACTGCAACATAGCAGAATTGTGCAAATGCACACCCCTCATTTTTGCTCAGTCTTCCTTTTCCAAATAAGAACGTATTTTCCTTGATGTAAAATTGCCAGGAAAATGGCTGCAAAGAACAGGAGATGCCCTGAAGGATAAAGTTGTCAGGGAAGGCAAACTACCATAAGTGAGATATCACAAGTAGGAAATAAATGCTTAGTGCAAAGAAGACCCAAGAGAATAAAAATGGGCAACTTAATTTATACTGTTAATTTATATTATTCTATGGAAGTTTATTTATGGATGGGAGCTGCCCCGAGGCTTCGGCGAATGGGGTGGCATAGAAGTCTCCTAAATAAATAAATAAATAAATAAATAAATAAATAAATAAATAAATAAAATGGGAAGGATGGGTCACCATTGTCCCAATCAACAATATTAAAAATACAATTAAAAATGAATCCACATGTGTTCCAAATTTTTCACACTGTTCAAAATGAAGAATTTCACCAAATAAGATGGAATGCCTCTCCTAGACTTCATCTACCTAGACACTATAATCTACAGAGGTTTGGATGGTGGCAACAGGTGAAGGACTTATTCAGTGGTGGCCTTCCAGTTATGGAACAAACTCTCCACTGAACTCTGTCTGGCTCCAGCTTGACTATCTTTGCAATTAGTCTGCTGGGGCCTGCTAGTTCTTTAAAAAGTCTTATGATTTTCTTCTAGTTATTATAATTGCTTTTGATCTGTTAAATTTGGTTTTAATTTTGCATTATATTTTATGATGTTCTGATATGTTTAATACTGTCTATTTTTATTGTATTTTAATGTATTATTGTGAACTGCCCAGACAACTTGGCTGTTGGATGGGACAGAAAACAAACAAACAAACAAATAAATAATCTAATGCAGTGAAATGTGGTTGAAATTCTCTAACAGTTCAAAGGGAAACTAATCTCTCTCTCTCTCTTCCCTCTCCCCTCTTCTCTATCTATATAGCATTAGTTTGTCTGCATTGTTTTGACCCACCTCTAAAAAATAATGGTTCCAAAATAATAGTTTGCCAACTTCCTAATCTGTTTATAACTCATGTGTGCTCTTGCACCAATGGAACTGGATCACACCACCAACTCCTAGCTGGCACATTACAATATAAATCACTCTCTTTCACTTTCCTGGCTGTGCTCACAAACTAAATTTCAGTGCATATTGCAAAAATGTCCTACAAATATTGTTATTACTTATGAAAGTTTGTAAGGCATGAGGAAGACAAAGGAGAAGAAATATATGGAAACCTGACTCTTCAGTTATGAATCAGAATCCAACATAGTTTATGAGTACCCATTCAAACCAAACCCATTCAAACCAAGGTGCAGAGGCATTCTCAATCCTAAGAATTGTGCCTGCAGACTTGCAGTTCCAAATAAATTGCTTATGGCGTACTGACACATTGGCAATCCTAAATGAAGACTTGAGATGGGGATGAAAATGTGGCAATGTTAATTACCTGATTCTCTTGTGCGGCCTCGGTTCCAGGCACTAGATACAGATCCTCCTTCGTTAGAAGCAATTACCCGGTATAGATATTCTTAAATAATGGGTTGGGGGAAGGGGGAGAAAGAGAAAGTCTAATGTTATAATACATTAGTACAAAGTGAACTAAAACCATACAACTGTTCATCTAAGGAGCAGGGCAGTGTGGTACCTGTAAATGGCTGTAGGCCACTCTCATAAACACTCTTCTCTTTTCCTCGGTACACGAGGATGGAGTCATTTCCCCTGCAGTTAACAGCACTGTCAGTTGATAGGCATCCATCCAGATTGACTCTGACAGCACTGCTGGACACAGATGCCAAGTTAACGACAGCACCTCGTGTAAATTTAACATCCTTCATGCAGCCACCAAAACCTAGCAAATAGTAAGGGATTAGTATCACATAAAGGGCTTCAGTTGTTAATTAAGAATCATGTTTTACTTCTTGCAGTGTTACATTTCACTGATAAGGAGAGCTAGATCTAAATGTTAAGCTTCAAATTATGTTTGAGGAATGATTTTTTAAAAACCCACAAAACTGCAGCTGAGCAATCATTGTTGAATTTCTAACATACCGAAATGTACACTGATTATTTAGCCTATGTGGAAAAGCTTTAATTTTAGCAATTGTCACATATATTTAAACACAGCAGCATAAAACAGATGCATACTACTGATTATAACTTTATTACATTTGTGGTTAAATACTTTTATTTTAATAACAGCAAAATGTGTTATAGATACTATCACAGGATCAAAAATATGCACAAAATTTTTGAATTCTAAATAATGTTAACTGCAATATAAAAATCAGAACAGTAGGATTGATTTGACCTCCTTTTAAATGGGTGATAGTGGGTGAATGTATTTATTTGTTCATTTTGAGTCCTTAGTCCATCCTGAAATTACACATATGAAACTACAAGTAGCAAACTCTGATTATTGCTTTAATTAGGAAAGGGCACTTCAGGACATAACAGTTTGAAAGACAAAGAGCCCTTCCCACCACTGCTTCCCCCACTGCATTGTTCCTCTTTCTTCTTTGTGGAATTGCAGGTACACATTTGAAGGACAAACTGGTTGTGAATCTGGCCATACATGCGCAATTGAAGAAGAAAATCAGTGAGCAGAGAAAGCTAATGTGAGCATATTATGTCAATCTTTTTCCATCTGCAGTCAGTTTCTGTGCTGATTCAGTGTTGGTATATTAACGTTCAAAGGGCTTGGTGCCTTGGAGCCCAAAGAACTGTCTCCTACTATATACATCTGTATATAAACCTGCCTGAACTTTTCAGATCGAAGTTTTCAGTGCTCCCTGTTCAGGATCCCCACCAAAGAAAGCAAGGTGCATGGCTCCTGGGAGAAGAGACTTTTCTGGAGCAGCGTTCCAGCTGTGGAATGAGCTCCCCAGAGAGCCTTGCCTGGTGCCTACACTGTGCCCTTATCAATTTTGGGAAAAGACCTTATTTTTTCCCAAGCATTTTAGCTCTTCAGTTAGTGTTTTACATCATGTACTGCATTTCAATTATTTGCACTGCTGCTAGGTTCTATGTGATCATTATTTCTGTTATATACTATAGTTTAAATTTTTAATATTGTATTTTATGATAGTATATTTTAATCATTTCAGTTGTTGTGAACTACCCAGGAACTTCAGCTATTTGGCAAAATAAAATGTAATAAATAAATGCATAATATTAGTGTTAAGAAAACCCCACCTCTGCTGCTCCCAAACTGGCTTTTTATAACAAAACTGTATTAATAAACAGAAGCATTCCTTCCACTCTGAGACAAACTAATCTTAATTCAAGCAGTAACTATTTCCTGCAAATATATCTGCAACATACTTGCAAATATAGTTATTTTTTTCCTTTTGCACTAACATACCATGTTCTAATCCCAGCTGTTTAAAGGCATGCTGCACCCCATCTGGGATTCCTCCAATGTAGACTGGAGAGTTTAAAAACAGCTGCTCCAAACCAGGTTCCACCAAATGTTCGGTCAATTCATTCATGCTAGCTGAAATTGCCAATCCTCTTTTTTTCAGAATAACTTTATTCCACTTCCCATCACAATAGGATAATCCTAACCAAAGATTCACATGTGTAGAAGCAATGCCATTATTTAGCAGAAAAGTCAGGATTCCACTCTTCAGTTCTGCCTGTAGGATAACATTAAAATACAAAACAACGGATTGATGATAGCAAGAAAGGCAAAACAAATATGCAATATGAATTTAAGCAGTTGAATACAAACTAACTAAATAAACTTTACTAAAGTCTCAGCAACTGGGTTTTTTGCAAAGAGGTAAACAATAAGTGAGATTATATTTACATAACTGTCTTTAAAAGAAAGAAAATTGCATGTCTTTGAGCCATATGTGATTTTGAATTTTTGGTCTATTCATTAAGAAACTGGGTAAGCCATTTCTCCACACTTTTTCATTTCCAAGGTACAGAGAAAATTGGAGCTGATATGCAGCTCAATCTTACATGTTTTCATTGCATCATGTTCAATAGGAAATACCCCCACATACAGGAATTAATCTAGACACAACAGTCCTATGAAATGGAAAATATGTGTCCAAAAACTGTTGAACCCAAAGCATTGTTGAGTTGGCAACAGCCAAGGCAAAAGTGTGTAGAAAGGTTTTTTCTTTGCTCTTTTGTCAGCTATGGCCACTCCCACTTGCTACCACTCCTACTGAGAGGACGCTGTGTGATTAACTCGGATGCTGTGTAAGGAACATAACTACACCAGTTTATTATTCATTTATTTGATTTAGATCCTGCCTTTTTCCTTTTATAAAAGCTCAAAGTGACTTGCATCACTTTCCTGCTGCTGCTCTCAATCTTATCCCCACAACCACAATCCTGTGAGGGAGGTGTGGCTGAGAGTTTGTGACTGGCCCAAAATCACCCAGTTGGCTGAGCAGAGACTAGAACCCAGTTCACCTGAGTCCCAGTCCCGTGCTCTTAACCACTACATGACACTGGCAGTTTAATGGCTGCCATACATTTTTTTTTCTCCTGGGAGGGAGAAAGGGAACTGTAGGGATTTGGATTCAGTGGGTCAGAAGTCTCTTCCAGTTTGTCTTAACATGTCTCTTCAGCTTCTGCAACCACTGATGTCCCAACAAAGAAGTATTACAGTAATAAGCTAAAATGTCCACTGCCCCAACAGAGCAGTTTGCAATGAGCTGCCTCCACCTGTGTTTACAGATCATCCACTCTGTAAAATCCTATAAACTCTGGGATGTTTTTCCAGGGACCATAGGACTGTGCCTTGATTAGGTGTGCGAGTTAGCACAGCAGAGGGTCTTTTTTCTTAGTGATCAAAAAGCAAAAGCAAAACTGTACCATTGAATGAGCAGCAATTCTAAACAGATTTTTAAATTATAAGCATCCCCCGTCACTGTTAAGTACTTTTAAATCTCTTCAATGAGCTTCTCCCATTGGTATTACTGGGACTTCAAAGGATGTAACTTTGTTTGAATCATACTTTGTATTTCTCATTTGTAATGAGTTTATTCCTTAGATGTTAAAATGAGAAAATATTTTAAGAAATAGGAAGATAAGAATTTGTATATTTTATTATAAATAACTACATTATAAGACCATTGAGAGGGAAATCTCATACTTGCTTAAGTTGGCTTGAAGCATGGCAGTTCAACTAGACATGTGAACTTTATTATAAAAATATAAAATATATATCGATCCAATATTTCTTTCTTACTTGTTGTAAATGTCGAAAGTAATGATTTTTTAAAGTTGTGATGTTGTAGATTTATGAGTCTGTTTATCTAACCCAAGCACACATCATCAAAACATTGGTTTTCTAGTTAAATTTGCCAGTGCAATTTAAATAGTCAACCCTCTATCTTGTTTGGGATGCAATGGTAAGTCTATCTAGAGATTCTAAATTGTCTAGCTCAAGAAAATGACAGTTAAATAACGTTCTTTGTGAGAAAAAAGATTAATAAAACCATAGGAAAAAACAGACTTTTTGCATCCCTGACAAAATCTTATTATGTGAAATAAAGAGGGCAACTCAAAGATATCTATATTCTTCTTAAGGAAATACTTACTTAATATCACCTTGTATCAGATGTCAATATAAAATCATGTTATCAGACATGCAGGTAGGGTAGAATTTGGAGTCAAAATGACCCCCACTGCTCAAACATGTGTTTCCAGCTGCCAGCTCAATCCTGTCCCAGCCCCCCCACCCACGTCCTTTCATCTTCTGAATTCAAAGACAGAAGCTACACAAAGGCAGTCATTGAGCTGTCACACACTCCTTTCCAATGAGACTTTAGTGTTAGTTCTCATGAAAGACCATATAATCCCATCTGTTATGATCCGTTAAGGGAAGAGACTGGCTACACATAATAAAATAATATAATAATTCACCACGAATGGCACTATGAGGGGAAGACCCCAGGAACAGAAAAAGTCCTGAAATGCTTCTTTTCCAGTCCGACCTGTTACCAACCACGCAGCAAATGGGAAGGCTCTGTGAACTGGACCGAAACATCAAGTGGGGAGCTCACACAAGAATGGCATCTTGGGGGATATGCTGTACTATAAAAGGAGCATGTTTAGATGACTGGCGCCAGGTCCTCCAATGCAGCCCGAGCATTTTAGGCTATCATTCCAAGTATTCTTGTAGGAGGTGTTGCCAGTAATCCCTTTGCCAGGGACACTGCTGTTTAGGAGGCCAGAATGGCTTGTCTGTGGTTTAAGAGAACCTGGTGTTTCAACAGTGCACATATCCAAGTCTGGCGAACAGGATGAGATTAACTGTAACCCTTAACAACACGGAGATGGTCAATGGTCATCAATGGCAGGAAAAATTCAAGCAAACTGTTTTAGCTATATGTGGCATACTTCAAAATATTGATGATGAACCAACATGCATGTAAAAAAGCTCTTTTTTCTGCAGTAAAAAAGCTATTTTTCCTTTAAAAAGTTATATTAGGATTTCATTTACCATAAGTTAATATTTTTAGTAGTTCAGCTTTGAAAGAGTTGGGAGATGCTAAAAGATAGATCAGCTCGGAGAAAGGTTTTGGTTTGGAATTGAAAAGCCCAGTTCATAGCTCTACTCTACAGCGCATAAACGAATTTGAAGAACAAATTCTCTTGCTTGCTAATGCTTGCATTCCTATTCCCTCCCTCCCTCCCTCTGTGTGTGTGTCTTCCCCACCTCCAGATGGGGAAGTCTTCTCCACCACCAGATTCCAAATTTTATTTGGGCTAGACATGGGGACAGTGTGTGTGTGTGTATGGGTGCTAAGGTATAAAACAAATGAATTTAGTAAACTAAATAAATTATTTGCAATTCAAAAAGGCAAACAAAATTGTGACTTTTGCTAAAAAAAAAAAAAGAAACACATTCAAGTGAATTTTTACTTCAAGTCCCACAGCTTAGCCATGCCATTCAGTGAGTTGCCTTGCTCAGATTTCTGTCTTCCATTCTGAACTGCCTCACAGGACTAAGAAGATAAGACCAGCAGATTAGCATGATCCTACAGAGAATTCATGGCAGGGCACGGCTTGCAGTTCATACACATCACTAACAGTCGACTGTCCTAAGACTTTTTGTAATAGGACAGGATAGAAAAGTTTAAATAAATAAATTAGACAAGAAAGGATGCAGGTGAAATTGTAGTTGACTGCGTATGCACCATGGCCAGAATTAGCTTTATACTGCCTCTAATTAGACCAGAATTTTGTAAAGGTGGGATTTAGGGTAGAGTGGAGTTACGAAATATATGACGGGTAGAAATCTGATCATCCCTACTCAAGGGTTATTGTTGTTAGTCGCAAAGTCATGCCTGATCCATCATGACCCCATGGACAACATTCCTCCAGGCTCTCCTGTCCTCCACTATCCCTCAGAGTCCACCCAAGCTCATACCCACTGCCCCACTAACTCCATTAGCCACCTCATCCTCTGTCATCCCCTTCTCCTTTTGCCATCAATCGCAAGGGGCACATATGCTATTCCTATACTGTGTGCATGCCCCAAAAAACAAATCAATGCCACTGGGCTAACCAGGACCAACAGTGCTTATCTACTTACACATATGTGTGTTAAGAGGTGCCAGTCACAGAGCAGGCCCTCTCAGATGCCAGCACTGAACAGCAGTCCAAGTGGTCATTTGTTCTGAAAAGAACAACGCATGTGCTTCTCTGCAGCAGCTGCACTGCCTTTTCTGCATTCTAACGCATCTTGATCAGGGCCAAGATGAAATCCTTGTCTTTAGGATTTCAGGTGTAACTGTCTGAACAGGTGCCATGCCATTCTGCAGATCAGATTAAGAGGAGGAAGATTATGTAAGCCTCCCTGAGTTCCTCGAAGAAAAAAGGCAGGATATAAATATAATGCAAAGGTAAATAAAAGAATATTAATGCTAATGAAATGTTCACTACTAATGGAAGGCTTATTCAAACTATTTCAACTTGTAATACTCTGTGACCCTATAATTGTGTAAAAATAGATAAATTAGATGGCCTAGTAAAGAAATTCATTAGTGAAATGGCAGAAGACAAAACCAACAAGATGCTATTCTTCTGGCTATAAAGGATACATGAAAGTAGATTGGGTCATAGAGATTATGGAAGTATCACTATACCCAAGGAAAAAGATTGAGAATCAGATGAACTTTCTTCTGATACGAATGCCTATACTACTACTTCTGTCCTCTGGGTTAGAACAAGGAATTATCTCAATTGAGGAAGTCAAAGGATAAAATTAAATGCCCATGAAATATTATCTCATGCAAATTTGTCTTAAATATAGACCATTTCTTGCAAGCAATATGGAAGTATTTCTGTGTCTGTACACAGCAATTTATGAATAACTCCTCAGAAAAAACTATTAGAACTTACAGCAATGTAATCAGGCCCGTCTTTGTTGTAAGCGAACAGAAGTAATCCATTCAGTTGATCTGTTTTAAATGTAAAGGAGATCTCGATGTCCAAGCCATCATGAAAAATATCTGAATGTAGTTCTAGGAAACCTTAAGGAAAGAGACAAAAGTAGGGATAGGGGGAATCAAAACAAAGAATATTACTTTGTAGCTTTATATATACATGCAATGAAATGCTGCAAAATTCTGTTCATGGAATTATATCTATTATTACTCTAATAAATACAGTGCATTTTGAGATGGAGAAATTTTGAATATGCTCATTCCATAACCTGCATTTGGTTCCGAGTATGCTCAGTGCATCATCTAGCAATGAGTTAACCACTCTCACGAAGCCTTCCACATCCTTTTCAACCCCAATATGCATAAGGAATTACAATACTAAAATAAGATGGTCCTTGGAGGAAAGGAGAATTTCCTAGTACTATACTTGGACCAAACCACACATTGCTTGGAAGATATCCCTATCACCTACTTCTCTTTTGCTTTTTTTTACCCCTATCACATAAGTATACCCCCCCCCCCCCACATCCTGGATTAGGGTTTAAGGCCCTTGCTTTCATGCTAGACAATTGATTTGGCTTGGGACTCCTGCCATTTGCTGTCACAGACAGGTATGTGTCTATCAGCTTAGGGTTACCTGGGAGCTCCAGTCACCCAGAAAGGAAGGCAGGCAGGCAGGCAGGCTCTAGGAACAGGTACCATTTCCTAAAGCATCTGAAGAAGCAATGCTTGAAGGTTCCTGCCTGCTTCCTAGGATGCCCTAGGCACAAGGGTTTTATGGCAGAACCATAAGACTTATTCTGAGGGGATTCTTCCTCTCTTTTGGGGGGGTGCTGGGGTAGCTGGTCCAGGGAAGGGGTTCAGTACCTTAACACTGTGACACAGCAAAACTACTATTATTGCTGGAGAAGTGTGTGTGCAAAGAGTGCATATGTGAGAGTATGAAAAAGAGGATATGTGTGTGAGTGTGTGTGTCTGTGTGAACCTGCAGCAGGCTGTTTCTTGGAGCTAAACAATTTCTGTGCTCCTGCTATAAACTAAAGGAAAAAGAAAATGGTTGTGTCTTAAAAGTAATAGGTGCTTTGGCCTTCTGTGTGTGTATCAAAGCCATTCCCTGTACCGTCACTGGATTGAAGTGACTTTGTCATTAAAAAGAATTGCCAGGCGAAAGAAAAGCTGAGAGAGAGGTGGGGAGAGAGAGAGGGAAAGGGAAAGGAAATGGCATTTTCTTCACTGTGGTGTTAGGATCATGATGTTCCATGACCTGTTGATGATGGTACAATCTAAAAGGCACTACAGGAGTACCAACTCTGTTCACTTGAAAAGAGCTGAAAACTTCAGCTCCTATATACCAGCCAGGTTCTGCGATAATGCAGAATGTCACCTAATGGTATGGACTCACAAGTATAGAGCAAATGCATTTGAGTACTATCAGGTCATCAATATGGAAGCCAAAGGTGCTGGTGTGGAAAGTAACATTATGACTGTCCTACACATAGTCATATGGCAGCTGCGAGGAAAGTCACATCACCAGAGCTTCAATTTCACGGCAGATAACTTAAGCAGTGGCCCTCAAAGTGATGGAAATGTGAAGTGAAAACTTCCCAGTTCTGGCTCTGACTTTATGGGAGCAACACCCCTTGGAGGCCTGACCTCACTTTCAGAAGACCTGCAAGCCACTTCTGTTTAGGCAAGCTTTGAAAGGGATAACTCTGGTTGGTTACAATCAAAATTTTATTATTTGGGCTTGTTGTATTTTGTTATTTTTAAAGACGGATTCAAGCTCACATAGGGAGTTCAGAAGAAGGAGGAGGAGAGTAATAATAAACTTTTCACAAAGTTAAAACACAATGACAAGCATAGGTAGTATTTCAAATGGTGTTAACGTGGAAATTTACCTTTCCCAAGAAAATGTGCTCCTTCTGCAAGAATGCTGGGACACCCTTCCCAGCTGGGAAAAACATTGTGCTGCTCTACTGCTTCTTTCCATTCTAAAGGCTCCCAAACTTCATGGGGATGATGCATCTTTTTCACAAAGATGTCACGGAGACACCCCACAAATCCTTTTGTGATGACTTCAGTGGTGCCTAATGAATACATAAAAACACTTCATTGTTTAGAAGATAATCAATGTATTTGGATTTCAAAATAAAACCATGACTATTTTATAGGTTCAAAAAAGAACCTGCACAGGTGCAGTTGATCTCAGAATCAGGTTCACAGTTTGCCTGCTCATCTCGGAAGTATGATGCCAGGCAGAGAGTTGAGGCATTAGCAGGTCAAAGAGTTGTGGGGGAGTTTCACACAGGCATACAAAAGTACTCCAATACCATCTTCTTTGGTATGGGCTGTTCAGTTATTTTAATTTCTCTAATTATGTTTCTTTAGATATTGTAATGCAAACCTGTGGGCTGGTTTGCACAATCAAATAGTCCACCATGCCTTATTTAAGCCACAGGAGGCTATGGTGCATGCCAGTTGTCATTTTGAACATTCAGGCCACAGCAGCAGCTTCTAGTATCTGAACCCAGGGATACAACAGTACCCTGAACAACCCTCACATAACCTTAAAGGAGGCCAGGGGATTATGCAAGAGTTATTTAACATTCACCTTACTCATGATCCCTGGGTTCAGGCAACACAACAAGCTGCAGCTTCAACATTCAGCATGATACCCACAAGAGCTGTGGCTTGCAGAGGCTCATTAAATAAATCATATCAAACCATGGTGACCTTCTGAACCCAAGTATTGTATCAAACATATGTGCATCAAGAAAGGTGGAAAAATATTACCCTGCGACTCACAAGCAAACACTTTCCAGTATTCTAAGTGGAAACTACCAGCATAAATTCCACTTTCAAAGATTCAGTAAAATAAACACAAGGATGCCCACCAAAGCATGTGAAGAAACAGCAGAAGGAAGTGCAGCTGTATTGTTATATAAGTGGAGAACTCCTGTTATGAGAACCATGTAGAAAGTTCTTACCTGTGTCTTTTCTTAGGTTTTTAAAACCCTGTGGAAGTCCTCCAACAAAAACTCCCGTGTTTTCTCCAATAATAGTACTACCACTAGTTGCTGATGAGGAAGCTAAAAGCAGTGGGAAATGTCATTTGCATTTATTTTATTAATAATATCTATATCCTGTCTTTCTACAAATGTTACCAAAGCAGTGTACAACAATGCAAATAAAAGCAATAATGTAGTAAAGGCCCTAGTAAAACAGTATTAAAACATCCAAATGTTCAAATATATGCAAATATTATTAAAATATTAAATCCACTAGTCACAATTTAAAATTTTCTTTAAAATAGCCTTATGAATTTGCAATATAACAAAAGAGAAATGGTATCATAATAGCATTAACAAAAATTCAAATCTTAGATACATAAACTAGAATAAGCAATCTGAATAGGTATCCAAACAATATTGATGATTATAGAATATACACCCAGATATAGACAGAGTGGTAAGTAAAAGGCTACATGAAAGAAGTCTGGGGCTGTTCACATGATGCAATCTATGACCCCTTGCATAACTGATATCCTGTTTAGGATTATGTGAGGGTTATCTAACGCTGACATTCATCCTATTTGCACAACATGACAACCCCTGAAAAACATAAAAACAAAGTGAGTCAGAAGGCGACTCCCACACTGACCCCTGGCTCCAGCCAGCTGTACTCATGACATGCCTACCATGTGCCTGAATTAATTAATTAATAGCTTTTATATACTGTAGAACTACTAAAGTCTCAGGATGATCTTATAATAAAAACAGAATAAAATGAAATGAAGCAAGAATTTAAAGCTCAAGTCTCTGGTTGCCGTCATTTGTTCAAACCAATGTGATTTAACTCCTTTCCAAAAAGCAGAGATAATTGGGATCTCTGATTCCATCTAATTCCATGATTTAGATGCAATATAAGACAAAGTCCTTCCATGCACATCTGACAAACAGACCCTTGCAAAAGAGCATCACCTGCAGATCTCAGGAATGAGATAGGCAGTTCCTCTGATAACCAAGCTATTTAAGGGTTAAGGTCACTCTTAGTTGAACTAAGAAAGCAACCTGTGCTCAGTGCAAATCTTTAAAAGTTATCCCTATACAGAATATGTTGCATAGTCTTACTCCAGTGTAAACAAGGCATAGACAACTGTTTCCATGTAAGACTGATTCAGAAATTGTCACAGCTGGTGCACTAAGCACAGCATCTCATGTTGCTGCTACCATGTCTACCACCTGAAAATCCATGGTAATGCTGATCGAGCAGCACTCTCAAGCTACAGGTTTGACCTTCTGGGAGGCAGGGGGGCAACAGGGATTCAGAATAGGTTGAATCCCAGTCTCCAGGTCAGCCTTTTTACTGACCAACAGCACCACCACCTTACCACCTTGCAGGAATGTTATCTCTAATCATACACCAGGACACTGCAAAACTGGCAGCTGGAATTCACTAAAATCTCCCTAAACAACTACTGCCCACAGAATCTCCAGAATGGGCTTCGGCGAATGGGGCGGCATAAAAATGTTTTAATAAATAAATAAATGTGGAAGCTACGGTAGGGTGCCATTGAAGGAAGAGTGGATGTGGAAATGTCTTCTCCTTGAAGATAGGTGGGTACTGCTAATGCACACCTGAGCTTGGAGCCCCAAACTAGCTCACCAAGCTCAGTTTGCCTTTACTCTCATTTTATTTGTTTCTTTTCATTGTAATGGGGAAAAGGCACATGTCAAAGTGCACACTTTTCTCCCATTGAGGAAAGAATGGAAATGTGTGGGTTTTTTATGCACATTTTCAAAAAGAAAGGTTTTTGTTGAAGGCAATCACAAGTTTGGCAACATTTTCTGGAAGATACACTCCTGTTAGATTGAAGCAACTTGTGATTGAATACATGTGAAACCATGTGAAAAAAGATAAAATCTTTATTTGATGACATTTCTAGT